CTTTCAAATAAATTTTAACATTACTAAGACTTTTGTACATAAAAACAAAGAGGGTCACTGAACCCCCCCCCCTCCCCCCACCTAGAAATAAGTTCATATACACAAATCCACACACAAATCCACACACACATATCTCTCTCTCTATCTATCTATCTCTCTATCTATCTATCTATCTATCTCTCTATCTATCTATCTATCTATCTATCTATCTATCTATCTATCTATCTATCTATCTATCTATCTATCTATCTATCTATCTATCTATCTATCTATCTATACAACACACAAAAACACTTACGATCGTACACAAATCATTTTGAAGTATTTATACGGGAAGATCAAAGGTCTGACCATAGTCATTCGCTCTTATCTTGTGCATTGTTTGTGGCTGCATTCGGCGAGAATGTATTCTGAACTAATACGAAAGTGGACTCAATCTCGCTGAATATTTCTAAACCCACCCCTCCCCCTTTCATGACCCCCATTCCTAATCAACGACTCGAACCCATTATAGATTTGGAAAACGAACATTTTGGCTGTGGCTATATAGGAGTGTACGGACACCACGCTCTTAGCGGACTTTGTCAGGACGTTTTGGAGACAAAGGGGTTTAAAAGCCGCTGAAAGTACAATCCACTTTAGCTTTCAGACAACTGTGTGGTCTATCAACTTCAAACAGATAGCAAATAATACATTACACAGAAACATACCATCACATTAACCAACACTGAGTCCAACAAGTGTTCCGATCAACCCTTTTAAAAAATTATTCGGCAATACGATTCCTATTCCTGTCGTTTTGATTGATCTTTGACCATGATGTTAAAGTGTTTTCGAAGTCTCTGCCAGAGGAAAAACATTAATGAGTGTTTTAAAAAATCTGTTTTCTTTTTGGCATTGTTGCATGGGCATCTGCTTATAAGCAAACAGCGAGCAAAAGGGATGAATTCAATTGTGTCCAGTAACTGAGTGTGCATAGTTTAAAGTTAGAGACAAGAGGTAAAATGGCACTCACATTAACTTTGAGGCGCCTAAAATGGTACGTAGCCTCGAAGAAGAACTCGCTTAAAAAGAATGCTCCGACTTTAAATGGGTAATCTAGAGCCGAAGCAAACCACTAAGTAGTAAATGATCTTGGACAAAACCGAAAATAGTACAATACTTTAATAAGAATGCGGAGCACATCCGTTTGTACCAGAAATCATAGAACGATTTATAGGACCGATACACCAAACAAATATTTAACAGTCGTGTTCATGCATTTATGAGACGAAAACAGCGATCAGTATATCAAATATGCAAACAAAGCAACAAGGGCTTATTTTTATCCTCTTCATTGCTGCGCCTTCCACATGGAACGGATCGAGTGCATCGATTTTTCCGGTATGGCACCATGTAACAGTTACATAATCTTATTTTCTTTTAGGGAAATTCCGGGACTGAGAGGATGATAACATTATGCAAACAATTACCACGAATGTGAAAACAGGCGCTGTGAGTTATATTACTGTTCCTTTATTAGTCCGAGACAAACGAAAGATATTTGAAGAGGAAGGCTAAAAGTGATTTTGGAGGGAGTGTGGATATAATATTAATTCAGTGTTGAATTGAGACATATTTTATCTGAGATGCCAGAATCAGCTTTCAATAATTCTTTTTAAAAATGTAGGTGCTTTTTATGCCATCATCGACACAAATTCGAAAATTTAGAAGGCGGGCTTCCGACCCTGCCTTTCAGAGCCAATCCAAGCCGAGAGGGATACAACACCCCTGCAGGAAGACCAGGGCTGGTGGGGCACCTGATGTCTATTTTGGCTATTACAAGGCCTAGAGTGCCCATATTTGCTGTGGGGCATCGTGTGTTATTGGGGATTTTAAATCAATAGTTCAAAAAGTATATTGTGAATTGGTTGCTATGGAAACGGCGGCCATATTGAATTTTGTATACCTTTTTCAATCCCATTTTGTTCCCTTATTTATTAACCGATACCCTTCTAATTTGGTATGCCAACAGTAAATATGTAGTTCTTAAATTTACCTGGTTGAAATTTTGATATATGCTTTAGTTTTTATTTTATGACACTTACAATTGGGATGTTGCAAAAAAGTGAAAAAAATGGAAAATTCATATTTTCTAAACCCATAAATCAAAAACTAATTCATTAATCAAAAATTTAACAAACCAAAATTTAGAACTAGGTATTGCTGGTATTCTGTGAAAGTTACATTGAAATTGAAAAAGAAACAGAGTAGAAAAATGGTATAATGTATGAAAAAATAGAATTGTGAGAAAACAGTCGATAAAGGTAAGAAAAGGCTAGAAAACATGTGCTGTCGCAGAAAAACCTGACAAAAAAACACAGCTTTAGGGTGTTGCAAGGCTTACATACGTTTCTAGATATTGTTCAGGAAATGTCCAGGAACTGTAATATATAATAAACCTAATTCGCAAAATTTGACCCCAAAACACAATTTCTAGGTGCCCCACCAGCCCTTATACGTTATCTCCCCAACTCAAAAGAATGATAACGTAGGTTACAACATCACCAGGTAAACACCTGACAACGACAGCAATAACTACAACAATAAAATTAACATAGAATTCTGCAAAGATAAAAAAAGAAACAAAACAAAACAGAACAAAACAAAAGACCCAAACCCTCAAAACCCAAGCAACAATTAAAGAGAATTTCAAGAACAATGTTAACAAAATTTGGTATAGAAATCCCAGCTGCCTAATACTTAATCTTTGCTCTTCTTTAAAGTGAGCACACGACTAGGAGCGGCTCTTCACCAGAACAAAGAAGTGCTTCTTTCTTAACACCAGATTCTATCAGCCCTCTACCGCTCCCATTTATTAATAGCCTGGATTTCCGTCGATGATTTGAGAAGGATTTGTCGTATTTTTTCAAGGATCGTTGTTATAATGACCGTTCTAATTGATTTAATATAGACTTTCATTCGAAGTTCAACTTTAGTAGGTTTGAAAGTAGCCAGTATGTTTAAATGTGATTAGGAATAAGCTATTTTAATTTCGTATGACATTGTATTCGCAGAGAAGCGTTTGGACTCGACCGCCATAGAAAACTTATCAGTGTCACAAATTTTTGCTTCTATAACAGTAGGCCCTAAGTTTTAGTTATTATTGAATGGACAAAACATGATTTGGTATACAAGAGTAACATGCGTCTCTCTCCCATACTCTTTAAAATAATCAAAGTTGCTTTGCTTATGATAATTTTTCAAGAGTACGCCAGTGGGTTTTATGATATAGATGTCCTTGGTTTGAATCTTAAAAGGAGCCTTTTTGAACACTGTAGAGATTTCAAACTCCCACCCCCCCCCCCCTCAGACTTAGCTTTGCCCTATCGGAAATGGACGTTGAATTCGAAGTCTCCTCCTTTTAGAATAGACATACCTTCATAAAGTTGAAAGTGGTGTTACACCCGAACCACACTATATCATTATTATTCTTCTGCACCCCACCCCTTCCAATACAAAACCCACAAAATACCCCTGTTGAAAAGCGTTGCGTTAGGTGGCTTCGCGGACAATTTGTTTGCCTCTGACGTCACATGAATAACTGAGTGGATTGGCGGTTTTTTTCTACTTCAATGCCAGTACAGTATGGATTAGAATCTCGTAACCCTCAACGTTCCAAATACGGTTTGGAAACTTTAGACATTTACCCAAAGAAGTTAAATATAATACTAGGGTTCGTGACAGTGACGTCACCCACGTAAACGAATGGGGGCTTCGTGCGCCCTCTATGGGATGCTGGGAGTTTATGGCAAGAATAGCATGCAGGTGAGTACTTTTACAGCCTTACGTGAAGACGTCTAGACGGTTTTGAGAGGAAATCTACAAGTTTGCACTGAAATGTGTGTGTGTGTGTGGGGGGGGGGGGGGGAACAGTGTTTGAAATACTAAAGCTCGTAGGGAGCGGGGTGTGGGCTTAGATTGTTCATGTAAATGATGTTGTGCCGGCAACGCCGTTGAGGGCTAGAAGTCTCCCCTGTCTGACACACGTGGCGTCCCTACCGCGTACTCTAGTACTATAACCTCTTTGCCATTTACCAGATATCGGGGAACAGCCTGATATTAATAAACTCAAACACACCCTTAGAATGATAGGGCTCGAACTCCAATGTCCATGGTTTTGAGGAAAACAACATGGAATTCAGAGATGTACACTTTTATCGCTAGATTTTAGTACACTTTATTTGTTGAGCGTCAAATTGATTTTAAAAAAGCAAAACAGGCCAGATTGTCTTGAGCCTTTGACACAGTGTGCGTGCCATCTGCGCTAGTAATATGTACGAGCGTAGTATGTAACTCAGTTCTCGCAAAAAGTGGATAAAGGATAAAGGGTGCGAAGACTCAAACTTACAGTTTTGCCTCTCGGTCTAACCTAAGTTTGTTGATTTGTTCCCAGGTTCTTGTAGATCGTTAGCTTATTGATGTGTTTCTTTTTAGACGAATAATTTAATTCGTCGCACCTTACCCAACAAAAAACCCCAACAACAACAAACAAACAAAACAAACCCCAGCCAATCATGAATTCATGTTCTACTACAGTCGGACCTACTCTAACGGTCATCTGTACAGACACAAATCCGTACAAATAACCACCCCCTGCTTTTTATGTAACAATGACATTCTCCGGGACGCCTGCCTGTCAAAGACAACCACTTTTCTCCTCGAAAATGGGAGGAGGCTTCTTGGACAATTATGGCTGTATTTACCTTAGAAACTGAAAGCAGTTTTGAACTGTAATACACTGCTCATGACAACAGTATGGGGAAACGATTCAAAGCAGGTTCACTACTGAAGCAGAATGTAAGTACCAGAAATGAACATAACTGACACATACAATATTTCTTGTCCGTACAATAGAATACAATGGTGGCACTCATAGATTGGTCATTAGGTGAAGTGGCAGACAGGAAGCACTATGACGTTACGCCGGAAGTGCTAAATGTCTCACTTACGTCACTTACGTTTGCCAGGTGTGAGGGCCTGGAGTTGTCGAACTTTGTACTGGGCTGGTGGGAGGAAAACTGGAGAAGTGTGGAGCGGTTTCGTGTCACCGACCGAGCTAGACGAGCAAACTTGCTGAGACCTGGACACAGATGGGAGTAAGTGCATATCATTGATAAAGATCGTAAGTGTTTTAGTTTTGGTAAGAATTTTACGCATGGCACTTGCAACACAAGTAGGTAATTTAAGAGCTGAAGAATAGAGGTGTTAAAAAGAGCAACAGGCAAAGAAAAGAAGGAGGAGAGATACGGACCGTTGATGTTTCACGGGAAAGAAGAAACAAACCACACAAGAGACACACACTGGAAATGTTTGACGTTCCTTCAGGCAAAATATATGATATCATCATGGGAGCGGGTTGCTTTGATCCTGCCTGACAGGGCCAACCACCACAGACAGAGATACTCGATGAAATAACATCCCCTCGAGGGAGTATAAATCACGTGTCTTCTGCGAGCAACGACCCAGAGCCGCATCATTACAACACAGACTCAGCTCACAAAAATGTACTTTAAATCAACTAAGATAACTCGGTGTAGACTTGAATCAATTTTCAAAGTTTGGTAATGTGCAACATGTCGATGTACATGATAAAAAACAAAAATGTTTATAATGTTCTTAATAGGAGTTGAAAAAATGTAGCTTCCTCTTACGCCCTAATCGACAAAGTTTAGATAGGTCAAACCCAGGCTGAGGGGATTCAACATCCCAGCAAAAAAACCTAGATACTCGATAAAAATTTCTTCTCACTTGGGAATCAAATTGGAGTCTCCTGCGTGCGACAGCGAACCATCTAACCGCTACACCACAGACGCTGGTGAATTAATTTCATAAGTTTGCAAATCTATTGCATATCAATAAACAAGAAAATGTTTATAATGTTCTCAAGAACATTTTGTTGTATTCTGGTGCTTTTGTAATAGGTCAAAGCGCTGCTGTATTGCGAAATGCTAGGCGATGGGCTCATATTCCTGAATAGTGAACCTTGCCGTTCCTCTCGGTCACTGGCAATAAACACACACATAAAATGAGACAAAGAAAGCAGTAAAAACCCAAGTGGCTGGTCTTCTTATAAAACGTTTGCAGTCCCCTGACAGTAAAACAAAACAATACACATTTGACAAATATTCTCGTGTTATGAAGCTAAAAGAACCCCGGCCGACTAAATCATGAGGAAGCGTATTAAGAGATAGAAATCTAGTATTTTTGACGGCATTATTTAAGCCAGAGACAGAAACAGAGACAGAGAGTCATGCTGGGGAGAAACAGAGACATATATATATATATAAAGATAGGCAGATAGATAGATAGATAGATGATAGATAAATACGCAGAAGGAAAGAGGGATGGAAAAAAAGAGAGAGAAATGATGAAAGAAAAAGAGAGAAGGACCAGAGAGTGACAGGGAGAGAGAGAGAGAGAGGGGGGGGGTAGAGGAGGCAAAGAGCAGGGGATGAGCGAAGGAAAAGAATAGACTACAATACAGTAAAGCAATCGAAGGAAAGCTACGTAAAACGAACCTTTTCCGGCCTCGTCGTCGATTGGCTGTTTGAGAGCCGTGATGTCCTTGAAGGTGCACAGAAAAAGGACCACTTGGTCCTTCTCGTTCTTGATGGGCGCCACGTGCAACAGCAGCCATAGTGGTGTACCTGGAGGACAGAGTAGAACAGCAATCCTTAGTTGTTTGTCTTTTTAGACTTGGGAAAACATGAAATGAACCTAATCATTAGCTTGTGTTAGTTCAGTGCCCAGGTTAACATAATTATGTTGTTTCGAAGATGAGTTCCTCGCTGTGTGATATATCCAATTGAGTCAATTAAAAAACCACAAAAAAACTAAAGCAAAACAAAACAAAACAACAAAACAAAACAAAAAGCAACAATAAAAAGCACCAACACAAAAAACTCCTCTCCTTATTTTCTTCGCTTTCATCTATCAGGGATAGTCGTCTACTGGTTTCTCAACCTGCAGTGAAACTGATTATTAGTGTATCTGTCCTCTTTGTCTACTTCGTGGGGCCCATTGAAAACGCTAAGCTTTTTGTATCTTTTACTTCACAGGATAAACGATTTCAGTTTGAAGAGCTCTTCTGTGTGAACATTAAAAGATGCCGACAGAGCCCTTAGCTTTGTATGATGAGGATGGTATTAAAATCCTATTTATTTTTCATCAGTTCAAATGTACAAGTTCTTGTGAACTCATAGACTTATAATACAATTACCCAGTCTGTGTAGTCTGACGTAGTTCCGGTTCACAATGACGTTCACTATTAGATTCTATTTGGAAACAACCACGGGACAAGTGGGATAGGTTGCATAGGCAGTCGAATATATTGAGCCAACTGTCTTGACCTTCATTTTTACGCCCTTGGGGCGCACCAGCGCAACACAGTTTTTATAATGAGCAAATAAAGGTGGCCATGACAGTGTTCGTTCTTGGGTATAATAATTCATGTCTATGGGTGAACCCGATTTGTTTTCTTTCCTGGCCGTTCCAGTGTTAGTGTCATTTCGTGCGGAAGGATTTCCAGCGTAACAGTCACGCACATGAGGATTACTTTGCACGCAAACGTGTGTGTGTGTGTGTGTGTGTGTGTGTGTGTGTGTGTGTGTGTGTGTGCATGAGTGTGTGTGTGCGCGCGTGTGTGTGTGTGTGCGTGTGTTAATGAGTTTGTGTCTGAGTGTGATAATGTTGCAAGAAATGTGGAGGAGAGGGAATGGGAAAGGAAACAAATGTTTATACATTATCTATGAGAAAATTACAAAAAGCTGGAGTGTGTGTGTGTGTGTGTGTGTGTGTGTGTGTGTGTGTGTGTGTGTGTGTGTGTGTGTGTGTACGTGCGTGAGTGCACGCGCGCGCGCGCGCGCGCGCGCGCGTGTGTGTGTGTGTGTGTGTGTGTGTGTATGTGTGTGTGTGTGTGCGTGTGTTTGATAACGAACAGACAGACAGACAGACTGACAAACAAACAGAATGATCGACGAACAGAGAAGAGAAAGAATCCTGGAGAAAACGTTTGTTTTAATCCTAGGACATTTTTACGCTGATCTCGAGAAGGGTTTGGAAGATACGGAATTGATAGCTGTTCGACGAGTGTTTACATTTCTCCATCGACTTTTTTTTATAGAAAGATTAGGGAACAAGGAAGTTTCAGTTTAAAAAAAAAACAACAACCGTGAAAACAAGAAATATGATAGAGATAATAGAGATAAGGGAAACTTCCCATATATAAAGGGCTTCGCGTCGATACTGTCTCATCGAGCGCCATAATTCGCCACGAGTGAACAACGTTGATCAACAAACCTGCTCCAAAACCTGTTCTATACATCAGCGTTCTGAAAAGAATTCGTGCATGTATTTTATACCGTCGAATTGTGGGCTCCCTGCGTTTATCCTCCAAAATTGATCCATGGAATTAATAATTCATAAACAGTATATTGCTTTCGAGTACCTTATACAGACATCATTTTCCTACGGATTCTGATATAAGAAAGACTATACTAACAAACATGCATCGCTTCAATAGTTCATTTTGAATGTGTTTGCAGTAGGACAGAATAGAAAATAACTTCATGCACAATCATATTACCTAATCCAAAGAATTATGCCCGCTAACCACAGATAAACGACGCACTACGCTGTCGCCTTAAGTAATAAAATTCTCATCGATCCCTCCAGGTCTCATGGAAATTCGGTGAAGACCTCTTATTATTTTTTCTCTATAAAACAGACTGACGTTTAGAGTCCGGAAGAGCGAGAACATCTCCCAGTTATTGCAGAGACAAGATCACTTGGTGGGATAGAAATTTCATGTAACACTCTCTGTAAAGCCATTACAGATCGCACCAAACCCCCCCCCCA